AGTTCCCCTTTATGTATAAGTTGGAGGGCATTTTTTATGAATTGCCTTATAGAAATTAATCTAACTAAATTAATTAACATGGACGTAGTGCTGTAGGTCTATATTATTTTTCCATGCATTGAAAACAGCCTCTCAATTTTTGTGATCTGTCAATGCAATGACATCTCAGTACAGGTTATACTGTTATAGTCATAATTATTTATGTACATGAATTGTATTAAACAACAAATATGTATAGTGTTTGTCTTCTTAGTTCATGATGGTTTGTCTCTATATGCAATACACTAACGCACAATACCAACGTTACATAACATATATAACATCGAGTCACATTTTGTACAACTTCTTGCAAACTATACACATTAATGTAAATAAAAATTGTACATTCTTCATTAACCTATTTTATCAAATCTAATAACTTATTTGACCCTTCTCTGAATCCAATTCCATCATGTACTATCTCTTACACTCAGTCAAGTGAAGATGTTGATCAGAGGACAATTAGACAATAATATGATATCTATTTTTTAACACAATAACATATTCCAGAATGTAACCAAAGGATTTCTGAAATATATGTGATTCCGTAGGGCAAATTCAATGAAAAAGCAAGCGTATATAGTTATATGCTATAACAGAAACTGGTTCAAAGGTATACAAACAAGGAGTGGAAATAACTTTAAAACCAAAAATGTACCACAAAACAAGGCAAAACAATTGAACATGAGATCGTATTTGTACAAGTAAAACTGCTTGTGTAAGACCCGACCAAGCTTAGTGTGACAAATTTCCAAGTAACCAATTCTTGCAAAATGAGTGCTGTTATGCATATTCAATTTGCATTGTTTGTTTATCAGTGTTTATATTTTAGTGTGTTATTGGTAATCAATGCTTGTATTTTGGACTTGATATTGTCCAAAATCAAGTTTGTATTCTATTTGACGGAATCATCAGTTTTGTCTTCTATTCTATAAACAACTATATATATATATATATATATATATATATATATATATATATATATATATATATATATATATATATATATATATATATATTCTCTTATTTTCTCTGTGAGTATGGATAACTATTAAGATTATTATTTTAAAACAAATCAAGGACATTGTGTATACCACATTTTATATTATAATTGTAGCGATAGAAGTCTTAATTGTAACTTAGATTTTGTTATGCAAACATGTTGAACCTTCCAGAATGAAACTTTCCATTTAGAAATGGTTTTCTTTTTTTAAAAATTAATTGTGACCTGAGGTCATGTAGAGGATTATATAATCTTGTTTCTATTTTAAAAAGTATTCTGTTTCATATTATTAAGACTATCCATTTTAAAACCGATACTAAATGACTATATGATACCCTGATTTTCTAACTATTTATCACCAATACCTGTTTGTTCAATTACCCGCTGAGTTGTTGAATAAAGACAGATGTTAGTGGCTACAAATTACCAACATTAAAATTCATTCACTCATTGTAAAAAAAAATACCTGCTATACTAAGCATATGACGCTGATAGTCAGCTTTAGTAGGTCTGATTTGGCCGAAATAACGCGGGGAAATCCGACCTACTCAAGTTATCATGGCTCATAAGTCACCTGCCTCCAATGCTTATTTCTATGTAAATGGCAGATGTTTTAGTGATGATATTTACCAGAGTTATTGCGGTGATGATGGTACAGTTTATAACAGTGTTCTATTATATATTTTTATGAAATGCATTTTAAAACCGATACTAAATGCCTATATGATACACTGATTTTCTATGTATCTTCAATACCTGTATGTTGAATTACCCGCTGAGTTGTTGAATTAAGAGAGACTTCAGTATCTACAAATTAACGTATCCAACATTAAAAATCATTCACTGATTGTATAAAAAATACCTGCCATACTAAGTAAATGGGGCCTTAAGTCACTCACCGCCAAAGCTCATATCTATGTAAATTGTAGATTTTATGGTGATGACATTTACCAGAATTATTGTGGTGATAATGTCTTATTAGTTGGTACATTTTATAATAGGATTGTATTATAAATGCCATTTTAAAACCGATATTAAATGCCTATATGATACACTGATTGCCTAACTATTTATCACCAATACTTATGTGTTTAATTACCCGCTGAGTTGTTGAATAAAGAGACACGACCGTAGCTACAAATCAACGTATCCAACATTAAAATTTGTTCACTCATTGTATAAAAATACCTGCCATACTAAGTAAATGGCGCCGTCAGACAGCTTTAGTAGGTCTGATTTCGCCCAGGTATGGAGGAGAAATCCGACCTACTCAAGTCATCAGTGCTCAGTCACAAGTCGCCAATGCTCATATCTATGTAAATGGTAAATGTCATGGTGATGATATTTACCAGGAATATAGTGGTGATAATGCCTTATTAGTTGGTACATTATATAATAGGATTCTAGTATATATTCATATTCAATGCCATTTTAAACCGGTTTTCAATTATTGTATGATACCCTCTTTTTCTCCCTCTTTATCACCAATATTTGTACGTTTATTTACCCGCCAATTTCTTAACTAAATAAAGACGGAAATAGCTACAAAATTACATATCCAACATTAAAAATCATTCTCTCATTATATAAAAATATCTGCTATACTAAGCCTATGACGCGGAGAAATCCGACCTACTCAAGTCATCATGGCTCATAAAATATATAAAAATACCTGCCATACTAAGTAAATGGCGCCGTCAGACAGCTTTAGTAGGTCTGATTTCGCCCAGGTATGGAGGAGAAATCCGACCTACTCAAGCTCATCGCCAATGCTCATATCTATATAATTGTTTGAAGTTACGTCAATTATATTTGCCAAGATTATAGAGCTATTACCTAGGTTATCAAACATAAAATACTAGGAATCAATTTTTAATTATCAAGGCTAAATTAAGCTGGTGGTTCGGTCTATCAGGTTGTGTTGGTCTGATTCCAGCTTTAGTAGGTCTGATTTATCCCATGATTGAGCAATCAGACCTGCTAAAGCTGAAATCATACGTTCGCATCCTCAGTAGTACGACAGGCCATTTTGAATATTTTATTAAAATAATACTGATCCCTTTAGCAATTAAAGTATTGCACCTGACGACAGTGCCTACTCGTATGCTTAATTTAAAAGACATTGACCTAGGTAGTTTTAATATTAAAGCGATCAATCGTTTTCCAAAAGTACCTATATGGTCTTAAAACGAATTATTTTGAATATTTCATTTAATTTTTTTCCCTACAGTTAAACTGCTACCTTGAAATAATTGTACTGTCCTAAACAATGGTTTAGTCACTTTAATTAATGATTAAATGATGGACTGGTGCACATCGCGAATGTTGAATTTTTTATTTTAAACACCCCCACTCGTGCAACTGATTTTTCATGGGATTTTTTAAAATTTTATTATCAAGTGTAATAAGTCTATGAATGGTATAATACTAGGAATGTTTGCATATAATAAATGAAGCCTCTTGTGTTTAAAAGTACACAATCAGTATACGTAAATTATTATTGCAAATAAGTCGACATCTAATAACCATCTCGTATTACTATTTTACTGTTTTAACCTAAACAAAATTCATTATCCTTGGAGATATAATTTAAATTAGACTAGTTACTGCTAGATTAGTTCATTCTGCGAACTTTGACACCTCGGTCGGCGCTAGATCTTTATATAAAAAAGCACGCTACAATCATGTATAAGTGAAAAAACGCCCTACAGTGTTTTGCATTTTGTCAAAACTATCCCAGTTACTGTGATATCCCTGGTACCGTTGGAAAGAAAAGTAAATTCCTTGTCTTATGACACCACAAACACCTCTCTAATGCATTGGATAAAAAAAAATAGCGTGCAGGTTGATATTTTGAGGTGCTGGTTGATTTTGGATAAGCTTTAGTAAGAGTTATTTATTTCGCCTCGAAAAACTCGATTTATTTTTAATTTCGTCCAAGGTAAGTGCCAATGCTCTATCAGTTGACCAAGCCGACCACCCTCCAGCGAAATATTTCCTCGGCATTTTTTTTAAATTTTAGCGATGAAAAAGAAAGATGATTTCAAAATGACCATCTCGCGCAACGAGCGAATGGCAGAATTTTACGACAAGCTGAATAGCTTCTCGTGGGTTGGTGGTTCTTTCCGCGGATTTCCCGGTTTCTTCCTCCACCATTAATACTGGTTTCCATGTATAGCCTATCGTGTGCTAAAAATGGCGTTAAGCCAACAACAATAACTGTCAAATTCTGTAGAGTTGTTTTTTAGAAGAAGTTTTAAATGTTTTATATTTATTTCTTCTATTTTAGCAATACTTGTATTTAGTCTTAATTGATATAAGACTGGAGTTATTTTTACACATATGAAAGATATCTATGTCACAATGCTTTCTTTACAATTTAGTCAATTTCTGTTGAGGGTTTTTGAAGAGTTCTTTACATATTTTTCTATTTTTAGCATTAACAGCAATATTTGATGGTGACTTAGTATCATTTGAACAAATCTGAAAGACCATCATAACAGGATGTTATTACGTCAAATTTGATAAAACTGTCCTTTAGTTGTATTTGTTGTGGGAGTGTATTTTTACCTATTGGACAAAATCAGTTAGGATTAGAATCACTGATGCAAAAATGCTCTATTGAAAATTAGAAGTGAAAAATGATCAACCAAGTATTTAGAAGTTTTTAATAGCAATTGTGAACGAGTAATGTTTGACAAATGATATACCAAAGGTCTAAATGAGCTAAACCGCCTAGAAACATACAACAGTAACACCAATAGCACTAGACACCCATCCTTCTACAATAATCATATGCTTAAATATCAAAGCACTGAAAATACTCGTGGCTCGCAGTGTTAGAGTAATATGGTAATGTACATTATTGAAGATCTTTAATATGTTACTGTACATTAATGAGTAAGATATAGAATATCATATCTCCAATGCAAATATCCTTTTAAAAGTATTATATCTGGACCGCTCCGGTGACATAGTGGTTAGAGCGTCCGCCTTGGATGCGGGAGATCGCGGGTTCAAATCCAGACCGAGTCATGCTACATGTTTGCGGCATGATGCCTCATTGCTAGACATCGCTATAAACATACGGCCATAGAACACAATTAATTTTATTATAGAGTCTCTACATTTGTTTCTCAGTACTTAACTTTCCACTGTGTGACAATCAATACAAATCATATGTTAATCTAAAATAACTTCAAAGATGGCTTTACGGTGAAGTTCTTGTCAAGGGTTGACCTGCAATTTTTGAGTGGCTGAATTGTAAACAAAACACCATGCAACGGAACACAGTTTTCACTTCCGAATCATCACCATGGCCTTATTGCTCACTGTGCACTGTCGCCGAAATGCACACAGAAAACCATACCATTAGCTCACATTCTAAAGAATAAACAATTGCCTTTAAATCATTGCCAACAATGCCTAAATCTGAATCTTGTATCTCCACCAAACGGAGACAGGAAAAATGATCTAAAAATAGACTGGAACTACATTCGTGGGTACTGATCCGGAATTATTAATTGTAGCCTGATTCTGTCAGGGTCAATTTTTTAGTCAAACTTTTACATTTGCAAGCCACTACTATTTCAACTTCATATATGAAGTCTTTTTGGAATTTCCTTGCAAGCAAGACATGTGACAGCTGTCAGAGAGTTTGTAGTGCTGGTGTTCCACAGGATGCAAGTTGTCGTCCAAGTGTTCTTGATAAATCAAAACTAAATTTGCTAAATCTACCTTAATTTTAGGAATTTTTCAATGCAGTAAAAACCTAATTATAATACACGATAAGGTCTGTCTGGAGATATATTGAATTTAAAAGTTTATCTATTAAATTTTAATGGAAATTTAAATAAACATTTAAAATTTTAAAAACTAATTTTTTTAAATTTAATTTTCATAAACATTATAACATTTAGTTTGATAAATTAAACGCAGCAAAGTTGATTAATGAATGGTATTTAAAACAAATGGTAGTTTGGGTCTGTACAACTGATGACATCATTCCCAGTGGTACTGAAGCATGATAGCTCACAGTGATTCTGGCAGCAAATTGCAATATGCCTATCCAGATGCATATAGGTGTGCTTACTAAAGAAACAATGACAGATGCTATGTTCCAAATGTATTGTTTCAGGTACTTGGGCAGTTGTTTGTGTAACTAATAGCAAACACAAATTTAAAGTTTTGATGGGACCACTACCCTGTTTTATAGCAAATATGCATTCCATTTTAATGTCGATAACTACAAAAGTCAACAATGTAATAGGAAAATAAAGTTTCATGGAGGTTCCACCTTACTGAACAATGATGTGGATTTCTCTCATGAAGATCTAAGCCATGTCTAGGAGATGCTGATATGAACTAATCTTGGTCACTTATAGCATCACACTGTACATGTCCTTATGAGACCTTGATATCACCACCAGACTACTGGAGAGCTTCCAAACTGATCCAACTCTAACACTTTGTTCCCGATACCAGGCTAGACCTAAAAAGATATAACATATTTCACTTAATTCTAGAAAACAGTAAGAAGTAGGCAAATGAAGTTAAAAATTGTTAGATATCGTGATTTCAAAAAAACATTCAGGCTAGAAATATGGGTAAAAAATGTAAACGTGACAGAGTGACACTCAGAGATCTGAAGCAATGGGCATGTATTACAGTGATAAATGCATCCTAAGAATAGATGAAGTTTCTACAAGCATATTTAGCCACTTACAGGTTAAAAAAACTAATCAGGTAGAGTATGAATCATAAAATTTAAGGCAATGTTGGAACGGTGAGGTTTGAGCATTGGTGCAAACATTAGTACATACCAGTATACTGGAAAATTAAATGACAATGTATCAAATTAAAATTTATTACTATAAGCAATCTTATTCATGAAGAAAAAACGAATTGGATATTGCGAGTGAAAACAGCGAACTGTTTTCACAGTTCAACTATAGATACCAATAGATCCTATATCATAAAATAAATATGAAATTTTAATCCCCAAAACTTGTAAACATGGATGGGCATTAGCTTGTGTGGAACTAATGCAATATACTTGTTGAAATCACATGTGCAAACATAATTTAAATGATCTGTTTGAACATTTTTAGTCTATTTTTAAGAGCGTTGTTTACCAAGTTTTTAAGCTCAATGACGCATTGGAATCAGATATCAGCTGATGTTGCAATATCGCATTCTGTCAAAGTACTAAATTGAAATGTGTTACCATACAGAGGCATATTTATGATGAAAATAACATCTTGGGATATTTGATGTGCACACAGTCTGAACTGAGCCTTACAGATTCACTATAGGTACTATGTCAGCCTATATGATGTACTGAATGTCAACTTTTGATCCCAAACATTTCAAAATATATGCATATTTGTTCATGTCAGCTATGTAACCATATTGAGATTAGTTTTACAAAGTTAAATTTAAATAATCTGTTTGAATATTTCTTATGTAATCTTTAGAGTGTTAGTAAACAAATATTATTAATTAGTAATGCATAAAGCAAAATAGATCATTTAAATTCTCATAATATCATCTGTGCAACAATGCCGCATTTTATTGTTCCGCACTGCACTATAAAATGGAATGCATTTTATGTTCAACTTGCCTAGTTTTGCTGTTTTCTTACATGCAATGGTAAATATACCTGGGTAATGTATGTTTTATCCCTTTGACCTGTATTTCATTCTCTGACAACATGATTTTGTAGAGAACTTAGGCAGGTTCTAGTATAAAGTCTTCATCTCTGTCCTCTCAGTAAATACCCTATAACTATGTTTATAAACAATTACAGATACCAGCAGACATCAGTAATTGTTTACTCAGTTCCTGAGTTACTCGGGAAGTTACCACCATCATAAACACATAAATTAACAGTGTGGACCCCAAATAAATAGTTTCAATGACCTAAAAGTACAAAGCAAAATAGAATTTTGTTTTCATGTATTTTAAATGAGAATCTCATTTTGACTTACAACGATATTTTCTCTGACAAAATGTGACAAATATCCATCATTTGAGCTTGTATATGGTGTAGGAGTATATACAAGCTGATATCATCTAATATCATTCCAAAAAATATGATATATGTGCATTCTTAGTGGAAAAATGTAATTTTTTAATTTTTTAAATTTTCATTTAAATTTTTTTAAATTAATTTTTTTTGTTTTAATTTCATTTTTACATTTTTAGAGTCAATATGCATAACATTAACAGTTCATGATTCTGTCATTAATAATAAAGATTTTATATCAGTTTAAATTTTACTAAAATGCTCTGCTAACAGACCAAGGACCACAATTAATTTTACTATAGATTATCTACATTTGTTTCTCAGTACTGAACTTTCCACTGTGTGACAATCAATACAAATCATATGTTAATCTCAAATACCTTCAAAGACGGCTTTACGGTGAAGTCCTTGCCAAGAGTTGACTTGCATTTTTTTAGAGGCTGAATTGTGAACAAAACACTACGCAACGGAACAGATTTCACTTTATCACCATGGCCTTATTACTTACTGTGCACTGTCACTGAAATACACCCAGAAACCGCTCACATTCTAAAGAATAAACAATTGCATTTAAATCCTTACAAAGAATGCCTACAACTAACTCTTGTATCACCACAATACGGAGACAGGGAAAAAACGATCTAAAAATAGACTGGGACTACATTCGTGGGTACTGAACAGAAATTATTAATTGTAGCCCGATTCCTGACACACTGCAGCCATCGTAGCGTTATGACTGAATTTTTTTTAAATCTACGTTAAAAATCCAAATCAGACACATTATATCAGAATTTTAAATGCTCTCTTTTTCTGTCTATCTCTAAACAAATAATTGATAAAGAAATTCAAGTAACATTGACAGAAAATGTATAAATAATTACCATTTTGTAAGTATTACGTACTAAAATGATTGAATGTCCGAATGGGATACAATCACTCTTATTCAAATCATTCCCAACTGTGATTAAATTTTGGGTTATGTCCCCTTATATATCTATACTGACTTTTTCAAAGCAAAAATGACCAATATAATTAGACATCGGAAAGTGTCTTTTTAAAGAATACAAAAAAACGTAACACCGCAAATTCTTCTGGTCAATATCACACACTAAAATGACTTTCCTTTTAAATGGATAATACGAATATTTTCCAGCTGGCCACCATGGTGACCATATTGAAGATCAGATCAGCACGATTTGAATGTAGGACATTCTAGACGTTTTAAAGTTTTATGGTTGGAACCTTGCTTATACGACATTCCATTTTCAACGCAACGCATAACGATCACAAAATTTTTTTGGATAGGGGAGAAAGATCTGATGCACAAGATTTACTTTTACGACCAACCATATACAAGTGATGTTTTGGTGGAAACAAACTCTCTCTCTCTCTCTCTCTCTCTCTCTCTCTCTCTCTCTCTCTCTCTCTCTCTCTCTCTCTCTCTCTCTCTCTCTCTCTCTCTCTCTCTCTCTCTCTGGGGTATTCTCACCACGCAAAATTCGAAAGATACCAAATATCGTATCTACAGTAGCAGGTGGGGACAAATGTCTAAAGTTTCAAAAAGGTAAGAATCAATTTTTAATATTATGTATAGAAATAGCTGCAATTTTCTGCGGTGTCTTGTCTTTCAGTTTTTATAGTATAGAGTAAATTTAGAGCTAAAGAGGGAAAAACTAACGATGCTGTCCGGTGTTTTTTGTAAGACTTATAACAAAGAAAGGAATAAAACAAAATGTTGAGAATACGCTTGTTTCATTTTAATAAATGTGTAAGTCTGAACTTAATTTGAAATTACTTCTAAACACGTTCATTACTTATAAAAATGATGAATAATGTTTAAAAAAGGTATTTAGAAGTTCTTGTAAAACAAAATGGAACATTAAATATTCCAAATTGCTTGGCATCTGTTTTAAACGAAGTTTCAGCCTCAAAAACACTTTCAGTCATTGTGTTACTTATGACCTAGTTATACTACACAATAACATACACTTAAGTAACTATGTAAAAA